GGTTGCTTGTCCGGGACATCATTGCAATTCTCCATGACCCAGCGGACCTCCTCAGCAACGGCATCTGGTCGATCCCGGATCACATGATGGCCGCAATCAGGGATGTGAAGATAGCGACTATTCTTCGACAGGTCTAGTTGCCGTTTCTTGAGTCTCTCGTCCTCCTTGTCCCAGACGTCCACCATGGCAAATTCGGAGCCATTTCGGATCTCATTCTCTAACTTCTCATCTCCCTGAGCATCCCGTATCTTTTCTTCCAACTGCTTCAGTTTCCCAATCATCGAATTGGCTCGAATAACACTGAGGGGCTTCGTGCCCAGGATCGTCCGCTTGTATTGGCGTGCCTCCATTGCCGGATCCAAACCCGTCTCTTGACCTGTCTCGGCGAGAACCATGCCCACCACATCGCTTGTTCGCTGCTGTAAGAACTCACGTGCAAAGTTTCCTCCATATGAATGTCCGATTAGAACGTAGGGAGGGCCGAGCTGCATTTCGGCGAGGTACTGAATCAACGACTTGGTAGAAGCTTTCGAACCGGGGTTGGAGGGTCCGCGGTTATATAGGAGGACGCGGTACGATGTCGCTAGCAATTGTGCCAGCTCCCACCAAGACGCGCATGAATCTCCAGATCCATGAAAGCAGATTATGAGAGGAGATGTGGAAATGTTTGAGCCGTCACTTTGTCCTAGGACTTGTGTGAGTTCACGGCAGTTAGTTTCCATTGTGAGCGAATGACCGGATAGAGACAATCCACGTGTTTATTTTCTTTAGAAAAAAAGTTTCTCTCGTTCTTATCCCGACTGATTCTAGCTTTTGGAAAGATGGAAGGAGAAAATAATGAGATTCAGGAGCTCTCCAGGCAGCAACAATGAGCATTCAAGAGCTTGGTCTAGGTTAAGCCGATAGGTAGAGCTTAACCATCACTAGCGCTTATGTGACTAAGAGAACAGGGGGGCCCACAAATTTAGCGATATCGATAACAGGACTGATAAGCTGATAACGCACCCGCAGCTTCTTGCGAAACGCATCCAGAATGCCACGTCGTTCTCTCCCCATCACGGTTCGACAATCCAGCCACTCTTTCCCACTTGAAACGACCCCCACGATACCAAATTAACACCGCTCCCGAACGGGCTACGGTTATTGGACGTTCACTACCAACAATGTGCTAGTCCGCGAGGGCTTCCGATGACTATGGGTCTGTCTTCGCCTGTTCGATTTACTGGACACTCCCGATCGTATACGTATTCGATTCGCCGTCGCTTTCCCGTTGAACGATACTCGACACGAGGGATATTGTTGTTTAAAAGTCCCACTTCAGAGGAATCCGAGAATGCGCAGCCGTAGCCGGGTGATACCGCAGCCGCCAGTATCAACACCAATGACGATGGTATAAAGTTCTCGTTTCCGACATAGCCTTTCCGACAGCTACTCCTATCTTGCCGACAGCCCAATATTGCTAGAAAGAAGTCATAGTAGGGATGTGTTCTACGGTTGTTCAGCATGTACGCGTCACGGCGATCGATCTCTATACCCCAACCTGCCCAGAGTAGCACGCTCAGAGCGTTGTACTTGTCCATCGTGAAACTAGATGCTTCATTTTAATCTGAACCTAGCAGTCTTTATCGATCGTATTGGTTTTGCAACTGTCTGAAGTTCTTGGAGTTGGACTTGTTCTTCCAACTTATATCCTCCAAACGAGCAGGCTCTCGTAGGTGAGGCAGTTGAGCTCCCATACAAATTCGCTATGTTTATCAAGACGAGACGTGAAGAAGCTGTCGATGGTTTTTGAAGACTGGCCAGTTGTGCCTAGAACGTGAGGCACTCGGGCATCGTCTCTCGGCGTCTTCTCATTTCTCGGCTCAGAGCTGGCTGCTGCGCCGTTGACGGTGATGATGCAATACCAGGGTTGTAGGAATACGAAACGGACGAGACCAACTCGTCTTGCCTGCTCCCTCGCACTTTCAACGAAAATGTGGCTTGAGTCTCCTCTCGTTTCTGCGGCCAGATGGATCGTGGTGTCGTAGATAGAGTCGGCTAGTCTTGATTTCCTCACCTTCTAATTCTCGTAATTGTCCCTTTGCCTCATTGACGCCCAACTCGGGTCAACTTCCGGATTGTCTGATCAGAGTCAGGGACAGTACGAGGGTCTGCTGGCTCTGATTGAATCGGCTGACTATCCGGCCCAGGCAATTGCCTTGGCATTCTTCGGCGACCTTATTTCATCATTGTATAGGATCGACCATGTTCGTATCGACTCTAGGGCTACGTGAATCTTATGTCTTGGCTTTGTTAGCTCCAGGGCCTCTCTTTTGCATATTTCCACCTTGATGCAGTTTGATGGGATCGAGCTTCCGGAATAGGCAAGCGGGAAGAGATGGTGGAAGATGAGGGACTGTCTGACGACATCTATCAGCTGGAACCTCTGCCAGCGTACGCATGACACTGCTACGCTGACCTGCATGGATCCGGAAGGTGGCATAGCTGGAGCCGATGAGCTCAACTGAAACTCAATTGCCGTCATTGCCCGGGCCAATCAGCGCTGAAGGATGTCATGCTAATCATAGCCGCCTCTCCACGAATCGTCCAATGCCGGAGTCGACTCCAGTTTGTCAGCGATCACCCGCCTATAGCTCGAGAGCAAGCTTCTTTTACGGCAGAGCAGCCTCTCCCCTGTCGTGACCGGGGTGGCAACTGTGAAAACCTTCTTTTGGGCAGTTTTGGGCAAGATCGGCGGGCCGTTGATGGTTCATTCGATGCTCGTCTTGCGCTATACGCGAGCAACAGGAATATGTGAGCCAGCGAGGCTCACTCATGGCTTGGCTCCTTCCATATTCTGACTCTGCCGCGCAAAGGGACCTGTTGATAGTTGACGCCATTGGTAGCTTTTGCGCCGAGCCGACCATTTTGTGCAATTACGTCGACGAGGGGTCAAATTGTTTGCTTGGGCATCATGGGAACAATAACAAAGTAGTCAGTTTAGGCCGGGACTGTAAACAGGGTCTCGTTGAATCCAAAAGTACAAATTTCAACTGATTCCCCCGTTCTGGACTCGAGTTTTATTCCTGACAGCCTCATCATCTCTGGTCTCAGACACTCTTCCAAGCTTGATACTACGGTTTTCTCCAACTGATCTTTTCAATTCACCATGGCCAACCTTCGCCGTCTCGCCGTGAGCCTGGCAGCTTTCCTGCCGCTTGCTCTTGCTGCCCCCGCGGCAGTTCAGAAGCGTGAAGTCATCCCCAACAAGTACATTGTTACTCTGAAGCAGGATGCTAGCAGCTTCGATGCTCACATCAACTGGGTCAATGACATCCACGCCCGAAGCCTGTCTCGCCGTGACACCAACGGTGTCGAGAAGGAGTTCCACATTGAGAACTTCAACGCTTACTCTGGAGAGTTCGACGAGGCTACCATTGAGGAGATCAGGAACAGTCCTGAGGTAGGTTCTCCGCCATAGCGTACTGTTATCACAACGGGCTTGCATTTCTCACAATCAATAATAGGTTCTCGAGGTTGAGGAGGACCAGGTCTGGTATGTCCCTGAGATCACCAAGGAGGACACCGTCGAGATCCAGGGCCGTGCCTTGGTCACCCAGACCGGCGCCACCTGGGGCTTGGGAACTGTTTCCCACACGAGCTCCGGTTCCACCTCCTACATCTACGATGACACTGCCGGCCAGGGAACCTATGCCTACATCGTTGATACTGGTATCCTGGAGACCCACAACGAGTTTGGAAGCCGTGCCAGCACCGGCTACAACGCCGTTGGCGGCAGCAATGCTGATGCCAACGGACACGGAACTCACGTTGCCGGAACTAGTAAGCATCTACCTTATTTGTATTGATTGCATAGTAGCTTGATCCTAACATTGGCAACTTCACAGTTGGTGGAAGCACCTACGGTGTTTCCAAGAAGACCAACCTCGTCGCCGTCAAGGTCTTCCAGGGCTCCTCTAGCAGCACCTCCATCGTTCTCGCTGGTTACAACTGGGCTGTCAACGACATCATCTCCAAGTCCCGCCAGAACGTCGCTGCTGTCAGCTTGTCCCTCGGCGGTAGCTTCTCTTCTTCCTTCAACAGTGCCGTCAACAACGCTTTCGCTTCTGGTGTCCTCTCCGTCGTAGCTGCTGGCAACGACAACGCCAACGCCGCCAACTACTCCCCTGCTTCCGCTGCTGATGCCATTACTGTCGGCTCCATCGCCTCCAACTGGGCCCGTTCCAGCTTCAGCAACTACGGTGCCGTTGTCGATATCTTTGCTCCCGGAACGTAAGTTACTCTTCTCTGCTCTCCCCGTTCTGAGTCATTGTTGGCACCCTACTAAACATTGGTTATAGGAGCGTTCTCTCCTCCTACATCGGTAGCAACTCCGCCACCGCCACTCTCTCCGGTACCTCCATGGCCACTCCTCACGTTACTGGCCTCGTCCTCTACATCCTGTCTCTCGAGGGCATCAGCTCCTCCGCCATCCCTGCCCGCCTGACTGCCCTTTCCACCAAGGACAAGGTCACCAGCCCTGGCACCGGCAGCCCCAACCGCATTCTCTACAACGGCAACGGCGCCTAAGTGAATATGCGCGGCGCTCACGGAGAGGAAATTCTACCCCTTTTTTTCGGGGTAGCACAAGAATCCACTATCGATCTGGGTTTGGCAAGTGAGAACCCTCTCGGATATCGAAAGATATATGACCCTGTTTAAGGGTCTGCGCCTTACAATGATTGATTTTCTACGAGAAAGTGATGATGAGGATGGATGATTTCTACGGTCTTCTTTATGAAAGGCCAAGGCTTGGAAAAACCGACAAGTTTTAGAATAGCTTTTGACCTCCATAGATGATATATGAGAATAGAAGCCCTGTGTGGGGCTACGAGTTTTCTATCGCAGTTTGGACATTGCATCTTTCACGCGGGGCCTTGAATATGAATCAATTTCCCTGCTTATAGTGATGAAATGGTTTCATAGAATGAATGACCCTGGGGTCGTCAGGCCTGAGAGAGCTAAGATAGCCCTTTTCCAACATCCACAAGAATCTTGACATGGTTTTCCTTGTCCTCGATGAGAGTGCGGAATCCTTCAGCCTCAACTTCATTGAGGGCAATTGTTTTTGTGATCATTTCTGCCGGAACTATCTTCCCTGTTTACACATAGTTAGCATTTATCGATAATGCAAGTATAATAGAGCGTAAGGGCTTACCTGCTGAAATAGCCTCGATGACGGCTTCAAAATCCCCTAGGCTATAAGTTGCACTATGCTGCATCAGCAGAGGAATCGAGATGAGAAGAGCAAAGGATAGGATCCTTGAGCACTTACACTCCCATATAACGTCTCTCCCGGAAAACAAGCTCATTCATCACGAGCTTCGCCTGCTTGTCCCAGACAGCAATATTAACCAGTGTCCCCCTGGCCTTGAGAGCGAGAAACGCGGTATCCAGGGCGACTTGAGCCCCAGCCGCATCGAAAGCCACGTCGGCCCCAAGTCCACCAGTAAGCTGTAGAACCCGCTGTACGATATCTTCCGCCACAGGGTCAATAACATGGTGCGCCCCGAAGTGTTTCGCGAACTCCCGTCTTTTGCTGCTGACCTCGCTCACGATAATGTTCTGGCACCCGCGGCCCGCGAGTACCTGGACGACGGCGAGACCAATAGGGCCCCCTCCGAGGACGAGTGCTGCATCAGAATCCTGGTACGGCGAGATATCCACCGCGTGCCATCCTACGGCCAGCGGTTCGACAAGCGCACCAACTTCAAGGGAGACGTTGTCAGGAAGCTTCTTGACGCAGGACTGCGGGACTACACTGATCTCTGCTAGACCTCCGCCCCATCCGCTCAGTCCGATGAAGCCGTTCTTGTCACAGCAGTTGTGAAGCCCCCGCACGCATGATCGACAGTCGCCGTCGTAGATGATGGGCTGAACGCAGACTCGGTCGCCTTTTTGGAGGCTGGTCACGTCGCTGGCGACCTCGTCTACGATTCCAGAGAACTCATGTCCAATCGTGAGAGGGTACGTCTCTTGCGTGATGGGATGGGGGTGCTGGGGTTTGGGAATTAAATTCGCCCCCTCGAGATATTCGTGCAAGTCGGTGCCGCAGATGCCACAGAACTTGGGGAGAATTTTGACGGACCCTGGTGTGAGTTCGGGGGTTGGGATAGAGTCAAGGCGGATATCTTTCTGACCGTGGAACCGTAGAGCCTTCATGGTAGGTAGAGTTTCGGGGGGGTTCCCTGTTGAGGAAGATGTATGGTGAAAGTTTGTTTGTTAGGTGTTTGCGGACAGGACCGGTGAGCGGGGACAGTTGAGAGGAGAGGGAAGACGTAAGACATTGGTGCCGTAGGATTGAAGTTGCTGGTAACATTCTAACTTTGGCTGTTGGAGTCAATGAACCTTTCTTCGGTATGCCGAATCCGGGTAGTCACTGAAATCGAATACGTACCAGATCAGCCAAGGTCATATGCGTGACTGAGTGCCAAGTGCGGGGTCCATGTCCTGGTCTCCCCCGGCAAGATGGGACTCGTGATGCTTGAATTACAGCTACATCGACTGGACTGCTGGTAATACATACCGAGCGGTGGAGCTCGGATGGAATCGATCTGGGGCAAAGCTGGCCCGAGCCTGGGGAGGATGCAGCTCGGTGGATCTGCGCATGACACGATATTGCCTTCTTAACTGCTATATTATTGCTTTTGGCGATTGGCTGGCGCCGTCTATTTTAATATCCGAGCCAGGCAGCCACTTGACTCGGTCAGTTGGGTAAGCCGATGCTCGGTCTATCTAGTATGTGGCCGGCACGACGCTCAGACGACCCCCATCCGTGATGAGGACATTCCCATTGATGTACGCCCCGGCTCTGCTGACGAGGAACAGCACGGCCCCCGCAATATCTTGTGCATCCCCAGCCCTTTGCTCCGGGATGATGCTCTTGGGCCATCCCTGCTTCTCCCGCTCAGCAATTATATTGGCTGTCATCTCGCTTGGGTAAACTGCAACAATTTGGCATATAATTAGAATCGAGTCGTAGGCACAGCTCGTGAGATCACAACTGAGACAACAACTTACAACCGGGGGCAATGATATTGGACCTGATGTCATATGGGACCAGGGACGTTGCCAACTGCTTGAAAATGTGAACAACAGCGGCCTTGGATCCGCCGTATGCATATCCCTGAGTAAGCGAGCGATTGAAGGCGCCGATGCTGCTCGTGGCAATCACTTGACTTTTCTGAGTGACATTCCCCTTCTTGTTACCTTCACCGAGCAGCTGGAGGAAAGCAGCTACCGTGTTGAACGCCCCCGTGGTATTGGCAGCAAACGTTTCTGTGAATTCCTCTGCAGTCCAGCCCCACAAATGGTTTTCGAACTCCTCAAGACTTGCGTTGGGCTTGAGCGTCTTGATCGACGGACCCCCTATCCCGGCATTTGCTACGACAAGATTAACATAGCCATGTGCTGTTCTGATCTCTTGAGCCGCCCGTTGAAGATCCGGCTTGCTGGTCACGTCGCCTTGAATGGCATGAATGTTTCCGTGCTTCTGTAAGGATGCAAGAAGTTGTTTCAGTCAATAGGATCATCTCAGCTTGCTTGATATTCTCATCACTCACTGCGGTTTTTGCCGCCTTTTCCAATGCTTCTTTGCGGCGCCCGTAAATATACACAGTAGCACCGTTGGCTTCCAGAGCCTGCGCAATCAAGAGACCAATCCCTAGGCTTGATCAGAGGGGATTCTCAGATTCACGAACGTTATTAAATGAGCCACTCACCACTTCCGCCCCCAGTCACAAAGGCGATTAGGCCTTTGACACTGAATAATTCATTGGCTAGAATAGATGAAGACATGGTGATGTGATTGGGATGTGGTTGCATTCCGCCACATTGACTCACATAGACCTCTATGAGCGAACATATATACCTCTAGGCCCGCTTTAAATATGACACAATTCCAAGATATTATGGCGGAATAATCATTTTGAGAGATATAGATTTGCTTATATATCTTCTTGTGGCTAGCTTGGGGTTTGTCATTTGATTGGAGCAACCGAGCAAAGCACGGAGTGATGGGAAGCTTGGCTGGAACTGCTTCAATACATGGTCATATATACAACTCAACATATATCAAGAATAAGAAAGGATTCCAATATACTACTGCAAAGTTAATACGAAGAATAAGTATTTGAAATAGCAATTGAATTGAGCATAGTAGCCCACTTGAGCAAGTAGAATTTTGTCGTCATTCCCACAATTAGGGTGACAGGATCGTTCGTAAATTTGACCGTAAGGATCAAACGAACCTGGCTTATATATTTTCCTTTTTCCTAATAAATGCTCCAATATCAGAGAGTCTAAAACCTTCGCCCATTGATGGTGGCTGTTCTATTCTTGGCCGATGGTATACAACTGTGACCAGTTTCGCAAGAACCCTTATTTTTGAGAATCAAGCCACACCTTGAGCTTCTCCCCATCTCTTGGAACGAACCGAGCTCGGAATCCCCGGGGCGTTCCGACAAAAGTAAAGCCTTTGAGGCCTGCAAGAGGATCAATCGCTTCCGCAGTCTCCCCATCGGCAGGAAGTATCTGAAACTTGGCGATGAGGTGCAGGAATACGGTATACAAAGCCTTGTGCGCGAGGAGAGAGGCCACACACATTCTGCCTCCTATGCCAAAGGCATATTGATGCGCGGCAGCGTCGGGAGCATCTGGAAGCCAACGCTCTGGTGCAAATACGTCCGGCTCTCGGAAGGCAGTAGTATCTGCAGAAAGGGACGGTTAGTTCTGAACAGTGGGTTAAAGGCAGAAAGGTGCAAATTAATTCTCACCTCTAGTGCAAGCCCAGCTGTTTAGGAAAACAAGAGTGTTGGCAGGAATTGTAGCCTGTCCCCAAGTAGCATCTGAATATGTTGCTTTAGGCAAGGCGAGTTTTAGGACAACGAAAAATCGCGAGATCTCCTTGGTTAGAGCATCAATGTACTCTACCTTGCTGGAGGCGTAGTTATCCGATGGAATATCTAAAATACCAGCGTCTTTGATGGCATTGTAAGCTTTCTCTTGAATATCCTGGCGATGGGCAAGCAGAAGAATAGCCCATGCCATTGTAGGTTGGTTTGAATCAGCACCCTTGGAGCGGAAATGTCAGCATGAGGCCGTGGTGATGGTTATAATAGAAGTATGCATGTTTGTTTACTTACTGCCATCATGCTCAAGCTGACGCTAATCAATTCCTCTCGGGTCAGTGTTGCCGATTCTGGATCTCTGAGGACAGCTCCCTGAATACAAGGCCTGTCTACGCCCCTCTCCACTTCATCCTTCAGGCGATTCAACAAGACATCGTTGTATTCTAGCCTCCTGCGGCCAATACTGCCAGCGTGGTCTTTGGGATTTGCGGTCAGTCTGAAGAATCCAGCGATAGGCTCCCAGTAACGAAGCAAAGGAATGTAGTTGGTATAGTTTTTTGATGTATCCCGAAGCTTGCTGATCTCAGACTCGACGTAGATGATCTCTGCTAGCAGAGGATCCTCTGACAGGGACTTGACGCTTGAAACTCTGGTCCCGTAGTTGAGTGTAAGACTTAAATTTAGTGCAAAGTGCCTTACAGGAGAGCGAAAGTCAATAGCTCCGTCGTTCCCTTCACTTGCAAGATAGATGTCTCTTAGAAACTCGCGTGATTCGAGGTTGAGAATGGGAGAATAACTCTCCACTCGTGGCCGATTCAAGGCTCCTGCTGCTAGCTTTCTCCGGCGCTTGCACGAGTCGTCCCACGGACTGGTGCCGATGCTCGTGACGGTCTTGCTGACCTTCTTGTGGAAGACATAGAATGTGGGCCGGGAGTTCCAGGCATGGCGTTCGCCGATGAAGAGCTTTTTCGCAGCCTCGACTGAGTTGACAACTACGGCAGTCGTGTTTCCAAGCTGGATTTGGAACACGGGGCCATACTTGACTGCCCACTGGCGGTAGGTCTCCGCTGGAACTTGATTTCGTTTCTACCAACGTTTAGCAATCGAGAGCTCTGAAAATTGGTCGAAACGCCGTACTTGGAATAAGTTGCCAACAATGGGCCAGCCGGTAGGACCTGGTAGGTGCTTGATCCGGCTCTGATATCTAATGAGCTCATTCCGTAAAAGGTATACCACCAGGACAGCTACTGGTGCGATTAGGGCGGAAATGAGTATGTTGGTTTGCTGCAAAACTGCATCCTGAATAATTGATAATGCTGTCATGGTAATTCCATAGCCTCCTGGCTTGTTTTGGATTTGAGTAATGGTGATCTAGCTCACCCTAGCATAGGTCAAGGGCTTCCTATATGCGAGACGAGGATCGAGACCCCTGCCCACATGCCGGTGACCGGTTTTCGGTCAGAATGGCGAAATGGCATGATATCAAATGCGGTATGGACTAAAAGCTCTCGGAATTCCTCCATTGAGTGAGGCATATTAATTAGTGATTTGAAATCATGATGGAGTGTATGGAGTGTGCTCACACTTGGAGCACGGAGAGATGTCTCCACGAGATCAGCCAATAGTCCAGGTCAATTGATGTCGGGTCCGGGAATTATGTTTAGCTGGGTTGAATTCCCCGGAAATATCTCAACAGGGGTGGGGTTGAAAGCTCTTCTGAAGAACATGATAAGCTCGAGAGCACGTCAGATGTGTGAAAATTGCGTGGTTGGCTTGGCTAGATTAGTGGTATACAGGGGTCAATAGACATCGATGATGAGTGATGGTGTCTAAACAGACCCGCTACCAATGTTCTGACTTTGAATATGCGTGAGGAGTCTTGTTGCATGATGTGCCTGCGAACCGGTGTATTGGTATTTGGTCTTCCTTGACTGCAGCCTTACAACGTGGCTGGACAAGGAAGTGATGTACTGACTGTTACCAGTCCGAGCTACTCCTTTAGAATATCTACAACTGGTGCTACAATAACCTCTATACCTGCTTAACAGCAGGGTTGTGCTTGCCGTCTCTGCCCACGTTGAACATGTGAGGATTCTCCGCAGCCCCATTGACAATAGCCTTCTCCCGGCTCTCTCGGAGCATCCATGGTGAATTCTTAAGTCCCTTGTGCCAATGGCGCTCGGCATATTCTTCTTCTGAAGGTTTCTCCCCAGTAGCTTGGATCTCCTTGGCTCTATGTTCAATCTCACCCCACACACGAAGCAGGTTTTCTCCTGCAATGAGGCGGATCTGCTCGTCTGTAGCCCCACGCTC